GCTCTCAGGGAGAAAATGTGAGGGAAATTAAGAGCCACCTTGGAGCAAGGAGAGGAAAAGATGCCCAAGTGGAATGTGAAATTTCATGCCATCATTTATAATTTATGAATATAGATAAGTGGTTGCATATATTATTACAATGTCATTGGGGTTTACTTAATTTCTAACAAATTCCACCAGCATAGTAAGATGAATGCATCCATATTTGTGCTTCAATACGACTGATTTTTATTAGTCAGCTTGGACTATCCCTGGAGATCCCCAGACTATTTTTTTGTTCTTTTTTTCCTCTTTCTTTTTCCATTTTGGAATATGTTGGCTTTAGTAGTACTTTTTTCAAAAAAGTGGGTAGGATAGGGTGGTAAGGTAAAATGTGAAGCCCAGGAAGGCAATAAGAACCACTGGATTGGTTACATAATTATACTTGCTTAAACTAGTTCTTTGCACTAAAAAAGATTTCTGAAACTTGGTCTCATATATGAATCACATGGGGGCCTTAAAGGTCCTGATGCACAGGTGTGTGTACAGGCAATTAAGTCAGAATCCAGCTGGGCATGGCGAGTGCATGCTTGGGGTCCCAGCAGCCTGGGAGAACAAGGCAAGAGCGCTGTAATTTCAAGCCCTGTCTGGACAATTTAGAAACATAATGAGACCCTGTCTGAAAAAAAAAAAAGAAAAAGAAAGCAAATAAATAGAACACCCTCCCAAACAAAACAGAACACAAAGAACCCACCTAAAAACAACAAAAACTTGTGTGATGGGAATATAGCTCAGTATGAAGGCCTTAGGTTTAACCCTATTATGAAAAACAAAACAACGCTCACCAACAATAAAAAACTGTAAAAAATACAAACAACAACAAAACAAATGGAATCTCTCTGGAGAAAAGACTCAGGGGCCAGACATTATGCTAGCATCTCTCCTGAGATTCATGGGGCGACCCTTTGGGCCTCAGTTTCTTTGTCAGTACATTTAAGAAGATAATTTAAAGAGGTTCATGTAGTTACATTGAGCTAGAGAATCTGGGACACAGCATGAGCCATGGTAGGTCAGCATTTGAAAAAGAAAAATGCAATGAAAGTAATGCTTTTGAAATATGACAACGATGATAATTTGGCACTAATTACAAATAAAAAATTCTGTTTAGGCAACGTCTACTCATTGTGTGAATTCATTGCCACTACATTTTCTATCCACACAACTTCTGGAATAAGGAATTTTTTTTGTGTGTGTGTGTGTGTGTGTGTGTTTTGCTCCTTGAATGCCTTCAGGGCACTTTTGCATGGCTGGAGTGTTGTGGGGATCGAACTACAGCAAACTGAAGCTGCCAGCATTGTGGAAGCAGCCACTTAAAGAACTGAGCTAGGGCTGGGCCCCCCCCCCCACACAACTTCTGTTTGGAGGAAATGAGTCAAGTTTTACCTGATCCTAGAGTAATCATGACGTTGCCTGTCCCCCTCTTACATGCACCCCCGCCCATGGTTCTCCACTGGATGTCTGGTGAGGTAAAGGAGTTGAGTGCAGCTTTGTGCCTTGGGCTGGATGTTGCCGTAGTGACAGACCTGGCTCAGGACCCCTGCAGGCCAAGGACACTGAGGAGCAGGGTGGGGTCTGGATCCAGAGTGTACTGAAAATAAGTGGATGCTCAGAGGAGGTTCCTGGAGTGAGGTTACAAGAAGTGACTTTTCCTGACTCGATTTTTGAAATCCATTGCCTCACGCTCTATTTTCTGTTTCTTAAGAGGCCACCTTTCAATTTCAAGTGTGCCAGGTGGGAAGGTCATACTATGAAGCATAGAGAAAATTAGAACTAATGAGAGTACAGGAAGAGCTTTCTGCTGGCTTCCTCAGAGTTCACGTAATTCTTATTACTTTCCTGCCCCTTAGGGAGCATCATTTTGTGGCGAGCAGATATAATTTGATTGCCAAATGCAAAATGTCTTATTAAATGGGTTTCCTTTTAAATAATGAATTTATTTATTTGGATGGCTTTATCTTTTGTATTTTCCACTTAGAGACCTCAACAGACAATAAATGCTGGTTATGAAAGCTTACTTTTTTATTTATTGTTTTGAGACAAAGAAAGCAAGTGCTTTTTCTGATTTAGTAGCTATATAACAGTCATTTCAAAAGTGAAGCACTCACTTTCTACACAAAGATTTTGTTTTTAGCCTTGAGACAGAATACTGCTAAGTCACTAACTTTCCCAGGCCAGGCTCAAACTTGTGATCCTCCTGCCTCAGACTTCTAGAATGTTGAGACCATAGGCCTGTGCCACCACACCCAGCTATTTCAAGCATTTAGAAAATTATTTATTGATTTATCTAAGACAGGGTCTCACTATGTAGCTCAGTCTGGCCTTGAACCCCTTACATCTCCCAGGCTAGTCCCCGAGTGTTACTACTATAGGCTTACACCACATGCCTGACTGAAGGTTTTGCTAAAACTGATATAGACTTCCTTCCTTAGAATGTAAAAATCTATTTGAATTATATAGAGGATATTTTGTTTTTAGTTTAGGTGATTAATTAAATATTTGCTTTTAGAAAATAATTTTAGGGAAGCTGAGAGAAAAGCTGACATGAGAATAGAAATTGAAGTTCCAGAGCAGCCACAGGAACTGCCGGCAATGTAGTACCATGCGTAAAAATGTGTGCAAGGGAGACAGAGGAGGCAGGAAGGTCCCACTCACACTCATTTCACACGCATTTCCCCTAGCTGGGAAAATGAGCAATTTTAGTCTTACACAGGCAGCAGCCAGAGGCTTTTAAATTTTTTCTCTGCCCCAGTTGGGTTGGCTGTTATTGCTGGAGTTGGCCCCTCATATATAAACACATTTTGTCCCACTCACAAAGTTGTCCACTAGCAAATATCCATGTCTGGCTGGAACTGGCTCTCTTGACCCCTCTTTCCCAGACTTCTCAGAGCTGAGCTCCTGTCCTCCACAGAACCCTCACCCCGGATGGGTGGTCCCGCTCATTGCCCCTCTGGTTGCTTCACACACTACTGCTACAGAGCAAATCCTGCAGGCAGTGAAAATAAGGCCCACTTGGAAATCTGAAGTGGCTATTTATCAGCTTATCAATCTTCCTTCTATAGTGCCTCGTGATCCTTAGAAGACCACATTTTGAATTCAGATTTTCCAGTTAATTCTGTATACTCACCTTGACTCAGTCTTTCTAAGCCTCACAAGCAATATGACAATTTGTGGACCAAATGCATGTAGAGGACAGTTGACTCACCTGTCAACTGTGCTTTCACTCACACCTGTCCTCCGTAATTAGCTATCCTAGCTTGTGGCTCTGCACTTGTGCACACCCAAGGGCAAAAGGCACTGAGATCCAGTTAAGTTAATTTCAATGTTGCTAACTTATGCTAATAATCCCATCATACCCTTTTGTGATGTTCCTAGTGGTTCATGTATGAAAAAGGGAGGGTAGAGGTAGTGTTCTGCATAACTTTGAGGGAGGCTAGCTGGCTGCAAATTCTGCCTCAGCTGTAAGTTTAGGTACGTTGCACGCATCATCTCCTACAGCCTTGATCTTCCAGTCTCCAAAATGGATATAATACTCACCCTGCCTGGTTTGCAAGTTTGTTATCAGAGTTAAAGAAGATTCTTCCTCAACTTTCTCACTTCATAGGAAAGAGTCCTTTTTGCTTAGCGTGCTGGGGTAAATAAAAAGTTTGCTGCAGTTCAAAGTGACCACTCCTGGACCTGAATTCCCTTGTCCCACTCTCTCAGGGACTGAGCTATTACTGTCTTTGCACACCTATACACCAGTTGGGACCCTCTGTTATATGAAAAGACTTAAACTAAACCTGCTGTAATGCTCATATTCCTTTTATATTCCCCTACCATATAAACAAATATAACTTTGCAGTAGAGTGTGAAGAATCATGTTCAGACATGTAAAGCGCTAGCATCTAAGCCTATGCACAGGCGTAAGTGGCAGAACATGAGGCAGAGCCTAGTCTCTCGTGACATTACATGGAGGCACCTCACCTGTCAACTGCGCTTTCAGTCACGCCTGTCCTCCGTAATTAGTTATCCTGAAAAGAAACCTCCTCGCTACTCACCAAGGTGACAATTCAGACTAAGGAAGCCTGTTGTTGCCTTCGATTTACAGCCAGATCATTCAGTGTGGAAGGGAGGCTGGTGAAAAACGAGCTCACAATTTTATGGTTGTCCGTGTCTGTGTCCATAGCTGTATCTGCCATCCTGTCTTATGTTTTGGCAATAAAAAACCAGACAACCTCACCATGAACTTCCTTCTCTGCTGACAGGGGTTACAGTAGCAACTAGGCTGGGAAGTTATAAGATGCGGTGGTCCCTGGAAGTTTAGCACTCTATGGGTCTTAACTTTTATTACTATTCATCAAAACAATTATCAATCAGTTGCAGAGAGATAAAAGGCTAAAAATAATACTTCTAGTATTATAACAGAATAATTATTATAAAATAATAATAACAAAATGCTTTCATAGCTACAGAAATATCACTAGGACCTCTATTGAAAGTACAGCCACAGATGCAGCATTTCGGAGCTTAAGGAAATACAGGGCCTTGGGCTACCACAGGCAAATCTGCCTTTTAAGGAGTTCTCCAGGAAACCTGTAAGCACACTCCAGTACTCTGAGGTGCATGTGGAGTCTCTGAGGTCATCTGTACTTTCTAGTTGGAATGACACCAAAGCAGAACTGGCTCGGAGAATCTGCTCTGTCTGACAGTTATTCAGCCCCAGGCTGGACCAGAGACTTAGGTTGTAGGGTAGGACCACAAGTGCTTGCCTGGTAAGAAGGCTGCCCAAAGGGAATCTGAGGAAATGCACACCTCAGATGCCCTCCTGGAACCTGTGTGGGATCCTGCAGTGGCCTGGCACTTGCAGGGAGGAACAGCTGGCATATCACACCTTATAAGGGAGGAGCTGTCCTGAGGAAACCTACAAACCCTTTAAAAAAAGAATGTTAAGAATGTGAACTAGAAGAGAGGAGGTCACTTACATTAACCCAGGGATGCTCAAGGACCTGCACAGCCGAAAATCGCTGATCCACATTGACCAACAGCATCATGGTAATGAGCTCCTGAGAAGGGCAACACGAGACTACATTTATCTGACTTTGAAGGTGAAAACGGGGTGTCTCTACAAGCAGCCGTGCTCTTTTAATTTAGAAAACATCTGTGAACCTCTAGAGCTTGAGTATTATCCCCTCCACTTACCTGTGACTATCTGAATAACACTTTCAAAAAGGAAAGGAATGATGAACCATTGGAATTATAAGTATTATAGCTTGTAGTTGATAGAAAAAGAAAATTAATGTTTGAATTCTATAAAAAGGTTTTAGTAGAAAAGAAAAATCTTATACACATCAAAGAATTAGTAACACACTTTTCGACTAAGGGTTTTACAATTTATTTATTTGTTATTTTATTTTATTTCTTGGATTTTAGGGAAGGGTCTACAAGGTGTTCAGGGTCTCACTACTAGATCAGACTTGTAGTGATCCGCCTGTGTACAGCCTCCTGAGAGCTGGGATTACAGACATGCGCCACCACACCCAGTCTCAATTGCTCTCTCAGCATGCCCTGGGGGTTAGGGCTGGCACAGCAGGTCCAGGGATTGAATTCCCAGCCCCTGCACCTGCTTGCAGGTGGGTTTTACAATTTAAAGCCAGTTTTTTAAAGTAATTGTGCAAGTCAGATTTTTTTTTAGACTAATTAAATTTTCACTTTGGTAGTTAAAAAGAAAAATACACCTTTTCACTAATTTCCAGATAGTTTCTTTAGTTTTGAAAGAAAAGAATGAAGAACGGTGTGGAATTGTCAACAGCTGGTTGTAAAACAGCGGGTGCTGGAAATTGAACCAGGGATTCTTATATGCTAAGGACATGCTCCACCACCAAGCTATAACCACAGCCCAGTGGAACTATTCTCCAGTAGCTGAACAATCCTAAGGAAGGGTGCTATAGCTGCTCCAACACTCTCCAGATTCATTCAGACAAAGAAAGAGCAAGTGTTAAAGGGTGCATTATGTGATAGTTTTAAAAGGAATAAAAGTCCTCAGGACCTCAAAGTGATTTGGACCGGGAAGACACAGCTTAGGTCTTTATAATGAGTTTGTTATACGGTTGACCCCTTTGAATTAGGAGTCCCGATGTAAAAAAAATGACTAGGTATGTTACCCACTTCTACACACACAGGTGCTATGTACCATGGAGAGCCTACTCAAGCTTCCTTCATTCATTTTCTAACTTGGACCAAGACATTGAAGTAACAGCTGTATGTGATGCCCTTAGCCCGGTGCTCTGGGGTTGGTCCTAGCTGTCAGTGAGTGTGAGCTTTCGGTTCACAGGGGGAGAGTGTTCAGGGTTAGGCAGTTTACTTCACCTGCCTACAGGTGAAAATGCCTCCCCACCTTGGCCCACTCAGCATAGCATCCAGCTCCTTTCACTTCAGACCTTTCCTCTGAAACTTCTCTCAGTTCTCTATATTGTCCTAAATCCAGATGTGGGCTGCTGGGCAGTGGGTAAACAATGAGACTTCTGCTCAGTGTGCATCATTTTCTTTGCATAATGGTTGTATCTAAAGGTTAGGGTTTTAAATTGAATTTACACTTAAGACAGCAAAAGGAATTTCATATGCATTGAGTAACAAAAACATCATTCTTTTTTTTTTTTTTTTTTTGATTTATGTATTTGGTACAGGGCCTCACTACACAGCTTGGATTCATTGTGATCCTCCTGTTTTCAGCCTTCCCAGTGCTAGGGTTACAGGCACTCACCATTACGCCTGGACTCAGTGGCTGGCTCAGTGTGCCCATGGGCAGGGCCAGCAGGGCGTGTGGTGCCAGGGATCAAACCACTTGCCTAAGCAGGCGCTTAGTCTGCTGAGCTGTCTCATGGGCCCAAGATCATTATTTTTCAACAAAAATTTCCAAAAATAATTTTTGAGGGCTGGGGGGAGATGGCTCAGTGGACTAAGCGCTTTCCTGGCAAGTGCAAGGGCCTGAGTTCAGTCCCCGGTTCCACAAAGAAAAAAAATTTGAGATATGATAAAAGTGATAAAAGCATTCTTGCTCAAAATGCTTGGGACTAGAAGATGTATTTTAGATTTTTGATTGTGTAGTCTTTACACATATCTGAAGAAATATTGGGATAAGATCTAAGTCTAAACACAAAATCATTTGTTTTATATTCATCTCATATACATAACCTGAAGCTGATTTAACTACAACATTTCTAGTGTGCCTGAGATTTGACTGTGACCTCTCTCACACAAGGTCAAGTGTAGAATTTTCCACTTGTGACAGCAGGTTGGTGCTCAGAAAGTTTCAGATTTTGAAATATACTAGATTTTAAATTAGAGATATTCAACCCGTATAAATTCATAAGAGATCAAGTAAAAGGATTTCCTTTTCCCCCTATGATTAACTAATATCTCCAAGTAATATTTTGGTAGTCTTCTTAGATGTTGATCTATTATTAGTTTTCAGATTCTGTTAAAATATACATAAAATGGATTAGCCACTTTGAAATGTACAGTTCAGTGACAGCCGATATACTCACACTGTTGTGTAGTCATTACCACTTTCCATCTCAGAAGTTTATTCATTCATATGATGAGAGAAAAGCCCTCCAGCCTTTAAACCATTCTCTTTCAAGACTGAGCTTAAAACTTTTGATCATTCTTCTCTGATTTGCTTACTCAATCACTAGTTATGTACTAGTCATAATTTAGGCGTTGATAATAAGGAATGAGTGAAATAGAGAAAAATCCTTTCTTGGTAAGTATTTGTTGGGAGAGCCATGAACAAATGGATTGAGGTCTGTGAAATCTTGGCAAACCTAAGGCTTAGGCTAAAATGTGTACCCCACTCATTTGTGGTATCATTAGTCTCTTTCTACAGAATGATTTGTTATCAGTGATTCCTTTATGATGCCCTAGGTGGAAGAGGAAGACACTGGAAACCTACCTTGGCAGAATCAGAAACATTGTCCCAGTATGGAGAAGGAAAGTCCACTTGCCCCATTAAGATCTGATCAAAGAGCACCTCCTGGTCATCACCACTTCTGTATAGATGAACCACAAGGAAAGACAGCACTGAAATGTCAGCTCGGGGCATGACACCATTCTTAAGCACCAGCGCCCTTCCTTTTCCAGTAAATGCATAAAATGTGCGCTTTAAGGTAACTGACTGTATCAGTACGCAACTGTCTTGGTCAATAAAGAAAGAATGATTTTTAAATGATATGAGGAAGATTTAGGCAATGCATATAAATTAACATGTGCAACAGAAAAAAAGCACAGGCATTGCAAGTGAAATTCTTATTTTTTTTCCTGCTATAGTCTCCTTTTATGTCAGAATAGCAAATGAATCATTCAGAAAACAGACAAGTGCTTTGTTGGTGCTGAATAAAAGACTGTTGCCCATACCCACGGAATGGAGGGAAGCCACACAGCAGGATGTAAGTGATCACACCAGCTGCCCAGATGTCCACCTTGAGGCCATATCTGGAAAAATAAGTGACGTTAGAGTTAGCAAAGTCAGGCCAGGACAAGCTATAGGGCATGCTAAAATAGATGACACTTTTATTCTAAATCCAATGAGAAACTGAACAAAATAAAAAGCTGATGACAATCATTAAAACTAACAACAATCACTAGCTGAAACCCAATAGCTAAACAAAGAGAGTTCCAGGTAAAATTAAACACAATACTGATTTTTGAAAAGACTAGTTAAGGCACATGAGTAAAAATCAAAGTAAATGGTGACTGGGCTCATATCCAAATATTAGTAATTGAAAGGGTTCAGCAGAAAGGTTTCTAATAGTCATGTGAATTTTAAAATAGAAAGGGGCCTAGAGAAATAGTAGAAATATTAGAAATAATAACTATTTGAAGGACATTTTCTGACTTATAAGCACTGACATATATTATCATATTTGGTTTTCCCAATAACTTTGTAGGTTGAACAGGGCAAGTATCGCTCACTTTGTAGAAGAGAAAAATTGAGGTTCAGAAGATAATTTTGCTCAATATAGTACAGCAGGTCAGTGGTAGATCTGGGCTCCAGTCAAGGTCATTAAGAGCCTAAGCCCTTTTCCCACCTGCCCCACCCCACCCCACAGGGCAGCAGCACCATCTAAAGGAATCCAGCCAGGTACTAATGTAGGATAGCAAGTCACTAAATTTGATGAATAAAAATGTCATCTTTCTCTCCTATGTCTTCCTGGAGATTTCTGTCAGGGTCCCTTCACATTTGTTCTTTTTGCTTACTAGGTCTGTGCTACAAGCAGAAACATTATTTGTAGATGGTCACAATGGGAGATTCCACTTGTTCTCCAGGTGAGGGTTAAGATTGCTTCTGAGAACTTGGGGTGACCTCCCCCCATCCCGCCCCATACCTTGTGTTGAACTTTAGCACCTCAGAGCCTGTCTATCTGGATAAAATAGGTCTTTTACTGAAAGCTCCTCACTCTCAGCCTAACCTGAGTTCAAATGTCAACTGAGTCGCTAATTGGTCCTGAGCTTACAGAGGACTTAACCCATCAGTGGCAGAGAGTCAGTGTCCCCATATACACAATGTTTATTGGAAGAATGGGAAGTAAGTAACTGAGCTTAGGACCTGTCATATAGAAGGTCCTTGGTAAGTCATAGGTGCTCCATTTTCTCCTTCCCTATTCAAAGGTAGACATTGTCACTGATCTGAATCTTCACATTGAAACCAGTAAATTCCCAGTGACTCTCTGATTCCTAAGAGTGCTTGTATTCCACAAGACACTAATGGACCTCTGAGAAGATAAAAAAGGAACCAAATGTGGCTAAGGGCAGCTGAGGGACATAACCACCAGAAGCTGTGAACATTGCAGGGTTTCTTTTGTCTGCCACAGTGAGTTCATCATCACTGCTGTATGTCTGTTGGTCCAAACAGTTTTTGTATTTTGGGATTAATAATTGCTGTCTGGCTTTTTACAGGCCAAATGAAAGCCTTAAGTAAGACCAACAATTAGCAACTCAGTTGGGAAAGCAGAGAAAATGGCACCCAGTGTAAAAGTGTTGTTTTTTTGTTTGTTTGTTTGTTTGTTTGTTTAAGGAAAAGAATGTGAAAGAAATCTGATAGCTCAGTCTGGGCGGAACAGCACAACACTGCATCTATTACTCTTGAAGCAGCCTAGCTCTTTCATAACCAAAGCACTGAACAGAAGGGAAGCACTTACCCAGTCTCTGCAATGATTTCTGGAGCCACGTATGTTGGGGTGCCACAGACTGTGTACAGGGGCCCATCCACAATGGTGGCCAGGCCGAAGTCACCCAGCTTCAGTGATTTGCTGCCATCTTGGTGCTCATAAACCTAAGAGGAAAGTGAAAGTCACCATCACCATGAACCCAAGAGCTCAAAAGCTTTTTCTTAGAGAAAGGAGGGGCGCATGTTTAATTTTTTTTTTTTTTCGGAACCAGGGATTGAACTCAGATCCTTGCGTTTGCCAGTCAAGCACTTATCCTACTAAGCCATCTCCCTGGCCCCTACATGTTTAAATTTACAGCATAAATTTAAAAATCTAGCAATTACTTAAGGATGTATTTCACAGAATGCCTTTCTTTTGATTTCTACAAAATTGGAAACACAAGACAATTAACAAATGGAAATTTGTTAAGTGAATTATGGTGCTTTTACAACGAGATGTACCTGACCATGAAAATGGCCATTAAAATGGTGATTTGAGTTTATATTTATTAAAAATAAATTTTGTTTGGCAGTTGACCATAGCAGACTATAGCTTCTTTTGTATAAAATATCCATTAAAGAAAAATAATGACCAAAAGCATGAAAGAACACAGTGGTAGTGTTTCTAATGATGGATGGTAAGGACTATGGAGATATTCCCCCTGCTTCTTATGTGTGTTTGATGTTTTTTGCAATTAAAATCAATTTACACAATCAAATGAAGTACAGAAAGTCTCCACTGCAGTGTCCCCGATCCATGCAGGTGACTTCTTCCTCCCAACACATGAGCGAAAATGCCTGTGCACACAGCGAAATGCTGCATTTTCGGTGTTCCACGTTTCCACCAAGATCTATCTACATTTTTATTAATAATTGAAAGGAATATCAATATTTCACTTCACCTATGGCAATCTGGAGAGATTCATATCGGGTGCAGAGTCAGCATTCTGTCCAGGTTACCTTATTATAGCAGTAAACGTTTCCAGTCTCTCACTCAACAAATCAAAAAAGATGCTTATCACTCTAGGTCAGTGTTTTTGCTGCTTTAATTCTAGGCCATAATCAAACCAAATGGAGACACCAAACACTATCCTAAATAACTCTGTAGGCAGGATCAAAGTTTCTTCATAAGGTTTTTCTGGTGTTCTTTTTTGGAATACACAGATAAAGAAAAGGAAACTGCAGTAAATTTTTAGTACTTCCAGCAAGGGCACTCTTGAGGAGATGTCTTAAAGAAATGGTGAAGTTTTCCTTATACATGAAAAGAAATTCATCCAGCAAACTGAGGCTGGATATTCTTCTGTTATCACTCTAGGACCATCTGTTACTTGCTGAAGCAGTCTGAACCTCTTGCTCAGCAAGAGACATCTCCACACCTCAGGAGCACTGTTAGCATTTACTCCCCGTCTGCCTTCCTTTGGAAAAAGTCTATTAGCTTTGCACTCTGCTGAAGTACAAAGTGCAGATGTTTGGCCAGCTGAGCTGCAGCATCAGCAATGACCATTTGGATCCTACTGTTTTGGCAGAGACAGTGAATAGATCCTCCTCTCTGGAGAGACTATGTCTTTTCTGGGTAGAAATTATTCTTTTACATCTTGTCCACACTCAGAATATAAAGTCTTCTTTCCCAAGGCTTCTGCATCATGATCAAGCTGGGGCTGCTCTGGGATAGGCATCCAGAGACTTGTGGGCTCACCTGCACTGGGGTGGTTAGGGCAAAGACAGCCATGTGACCAGCTGTAATCTGAGACAGACACTTCTACTTAATGAAGCCATGATGTATCCTCCTCACCATAAACTGCTCTGAAGTGGGGACCATGAGGTCTCAGAGCCTAAATGTCCTTAAGCCTAGGAAATCTCTAAATTGTAGTTCTAGCATGTCAGCCACCCTGATCATTTAAATAAAAAGAAAGGGGCTGGGGAGATAGCCCAGTAGGATAAGCTCTTGCCTGGCAAGCGCAAGGGCCTGAGTTCAAACCCTAGTTCCGCAAACAAACAAAAACAAAACTCAGACCAATAAGGACATGTTTTCATGAGAAGTATGAGATTCAAATGTCTAGTAGATTGTCTAGTTTGTTTATCAGAGCAAAATTGTTTACTTCCATAATTCCATTTTGTTTACTTATAACTTTTCTTTGCTTTTGGTCTTTCCATTTTGGGGATTTTTTTTTTTTTTTTTTTTTTTTTTGAGATAGTACCTTGCTGTGTGTTTCAAGCTGGCCTTGAACACACTATGAAACAAGCTGGCCTTGAACTTATAGCCATTCTTCTGCCTCAGCCTCCACTTCCGAGTGCTGGGATTACAGGCATGCAGCACTGTGACTGGCTACCAATAAGCATTTTAAAATGCAAAATAACTGCTTGTTTTGATGCTCTACTAGCTTCAGACATTCATGATGTACTTTGTGAGACTGTGCTGATTTTGGCCTGTTCTACCCTATTTATGCAGAAAATTTTAAGTTTTCTTCTAAATATGGTTTCTATATCGCCTAAGTTTATTAAAAAGCTTTACAAAACCAGATGTGTGAGGATCCAGCCATTAAATCCCATACTAGTTCTTTCTATGACCTCTAAGTCTCTTACATGAAGCCAGGCTTTGGCTTTTGAACAACTGTAGTTTAACAGGAATTCCACCTGACAAACAACCTCATACTAATTATATTAGATGAGTAATTTTCAATAAGAAAAATTCAAGGTCCAGCATCACAAGACAAACTAAAGAAGACATTAAAAAAATCTATCTAAAAAGAAAATGAGGATTACCTGAAAGTAGTAACTCTTTGAGAAAAGTAGAAATGATTTAAATAGAATACATTGCATGTTTGGTTTTACTATTCCTTTTTAAATCTCTCTTTAGACATGTGTACCCTCCCTTTTTGTTTTGCAAATTGTAGAGTATTTCATCAACATAAAGAGGTTCAGGTGATATTTAGGAGAGACAAAGGGAGCTCAGAGGCAAAGGCTTCTTACTTGCAATTGAAAACATTTCAGGACAAAGTACATTAGAAATGCTTCAAATGAACGTTTTTGTAGGTGAGTAAACGTCCAGACCTTGAGTTTGGAATTCTGTTTAACATATTGTTAGGCAGGGCAGGAAACAAGGTTACTTCAGGATTTTTTTTTCCTGTCAACACTTTGAGAGAAGGATAGAGAGGAAGATAGCCCAGGGTTTCTTCTTTTCCCTTAGGAGAGATCCTCTCCTAAGGGGTATAATGCATTCACAGACAGCAAGGGCTCCCCATTAGTGCCCTCTACCACCCTAGCTACATTCACTCTCATCTCTTGCAAAGTCAGTTACAGAAGGGCAAGAGTGAGGCCATTTGCAATGTAATCAAAACTTTGTGAAAAGTCACAGATTGTTCAATACATCTGTTTCGGCGTGCGCATTTGCTTGCACACACACACACACACACACACACACACACAAGCCTCACGCATACACACTGTCACAAAACCATCTCAACATTTTCCCAAATGGCAGCTATAAATTCACCATGAACCAAGTTTTTAATTAAAAGTTAGAAATCAGAAAGTCTTCTCACAAGTTCCCCTTTAAAAAATTCTTAACTCTTGGTTTCTACTCTAACTCTGTTCCTCAGCATTTTCCCCCCACCTGACCTTCTTTCAGAAAGGACATTAGCAGGCTGCAAGCAGAGACTTAGATTTGTGCGTGTGTGTGTGTGTTTCTAATATAAGAACTTTTGTCTGTAACTGTATTTTAAAAGCCTCTACAAACATGACCCACACGTGAAATGGGAGTACACTAACTGTCAGTCAAGGAGTATTCACAACACGAGATATAATTTAACATATCGATGTTTCCTCACACTTGAAGCACCGAAGGGGCTATTACAGAGACGGGAATTAGTGCAAATTACTCAGTATGTAGTGCTTTCACTGTTTTAACTAAGCAATAAAACTGTGTAATTGTACAACACTAATTGAATGCAACTACACATAATTGTGGGTTGCCATATGTATCCTATTACCATAAAGACTGTCAGTATTTTGTAAGCTACTCTTGTGATCATTGCAGATGGTTACAGTCAGAGAGGTTGTTCTCTAGGGTTTATTATATGGCTATAAAGACATCTCATGATTTGACAGGCTAAATGTGCTAATGGCAACAATTATGAAAAAGTTCCAATTAAAAACTGAAGGTATGTCTCACCAAAAGACGATAGAATGAAATGTCAGGAATAGAATGAAATATCAGGATTGTAAAGTTTTGGTCTCACTGATATTTCTTTTTTAAGGGTTTTATCTTAGTGTCTTTCTCCTTTCTTTGGGGATTTGCACTCACTGTAACTTGCTGACCAGGAGTAGATGTTTGGGCATTTGCCTGACTTCTCTTGGACGAGAAATTGAGACCATTTGGAAGAGTTATTTCAAAAAATAAAACCTTTAATATAGGGTCATAAAATGCAGCCGTTGGCCATAAAATACTATGAAAATTCATAGATAACCTGAGCCTAGTTAAATGTTCTGAGATTCCCATGATCAAGAACTAAAACCTGACAAATATAACAGATGCATTGGACCAAACCAATTCTTGTGTTGCTGCAAATTCAAGGATAGCCTTGTTGAAAATTTGGATAATGAATCATCGGTAACCACTGAAATAGTTTTCACAGAGGAGGGGAATAGATACTAAGAATTACTTCACCGAATAGAATTGAATAAAAGTGGTGTGAAATTGACAAATGCATGAAAACAGATCAATTTACTTTTTAACATTTATGATATCTCTTTAAAAAGACTGATTTTCTGCCATCCATGGAATGTGGTCATTATGATGTTTTTCTAAGACAAATGGATTAAATCTGTATCTTTAATCTCTAAGAAATTAAGTATAACAACATTTAAGCATAAAGAGTTACTTTGCAAGATACGCTTCACAATTGCATATTTTTGAATTAGACTTTCCGAAAAAAAATATAATAAAAGCACTTTATACATATATGTCAAGTATTTATGATATCAAGAGTTAAATAATGAAAACATTAAAAGTTGCATAAAACCGAGAAAGGAGTAAGCCAAAAGAATGGCAATAATTTTAAAGGAAGAAATAAAATCACTTCTCCAAGTATTACACTGGAGAAATCTGGGAAGATGAAGAAGTAAAC